TTGTGTAAAGCAGAGGGAGAAAAACATATACACGTTAAATGCACAATTTTTTTATATGCGTATGAATGTCACGCGCGTTTTTTGTACATGTTGCATGTTGGCCCTTTACACACATACAAACATATGCGGACGTATTAGACACACCTAAGGCAACGGGCGTTTGCCAGCTTCAGTTCAGGCGCTCCCACACGTGTTGAGAAGCATGCAGCTTGCCTTCCATGGCAACAAAGTTGCACACACGCACTCCGCACTGCCTCATTGCCACCAACCACTTTCATTGGCTTCCTTTCTTTCGCCTGCGCCAGTCAGACTATTTACTTACATTTATGTTTTGTAATTTTCATCACTGCCGCATTTTGTGGCATTACGACGCCACCGTGTTGACAATGTTGCAAGTTCCAAGTAATGTGGCACATTCATCCCACTGCTGGGTATTGTTCATGCACTTATTCAATATTTCTCATTGTTGCAACACATTTTTCGCTGCCTTTTCTTGCTCTCTTTTCTATTATTTGCAGTTGTCGCTGTTGTTGATTGGGTGTGTTTGTGCAACATGGTGCTGCAAGCAATTTCAATACACCACACATACACTGGTTACCGCAGACAGTTAATTTAATGTGATTTCATGTTGTTGATAGTGAAAATATTGCAATTTATGTCGCTCGTCGCTCTGTCTGTCCGTCGGTTTGCCCGTCTGTCCTTTTGTTTGATGGCTGCTTTCTTCACTTTGCCAGCGTAAAAGCATTTATTATTGGCGTTTGTTTGTGTAGCGATATGTAGCGACCAAAGGGATATGTGTGAAATTTTTGCTCCAGGAAATGTATTCGATATCATACCGTTAGGCGTGTCTGCACTTAAATGGCCGCAACTAATGTGTGTTTCATTTCAATCGAAATCAGTTACACACGCATGCAAATATTAGGTGTGGCTTCTACAAGGATCGCATGGGACTTCGACCCAGAACTAAGTAATTTTGAAACTCTCCGTTCTTGTCGGAAGAGACAAGATAGATTCTTCTTTATTTAATAATAATGTTCGTTTTGATCTTTCTTTCTCGACAACAGAAACTTTTATAAATTCCAAAATAACAATTAGGTACCTGTAACTACATCAATCAGTCAGAATATCCTTAGAATTCTAGAATTAAAGCATTTCAACTGACTTGAAACCCACACAAGACCGATTGATGCGAAACACAAACGTTATGAATCGTCAGTCACACGAGGACGATAATCATTTAGAAATTGGAAGTGAGGTTTCGAAATGAAAATCATCCTCCCCCCTCCATACTCTCTTTCCTTGAAGTATAGTTCAGCTCGATACTCGCTCACAATTTGTGGGTTAAAGCTCCTATGCAAAGAGACAAAGTCTTGAACTGAGCTTATTTTACTTTATTTAATTATCTGCTCGCAGACGTCCCCATTGGTATATTCCTCCTGGCTACTATCTGAATAGGTTAACCCATGTTATCACACTTTGTCAATAACAGGTGAGCATCCGAGCAAATTTTAGATCAGGTAAGTCTTTATAACCCTTTTTAACAGGGGAGACGCTTGATTTGTGACAGGCGTGCAATCTTAAAGATTGAAGTTTCTTGAGGAACCTCTCATTTTTAATGATATTTATGACAAAGACAAAGCTTTCCTCACAAAATCAAATATATATTGTTCAGATCGGGCTTTTCTTTTGAGATTTCTTTTGAAGAGAAGCACTTGATGAAAATATGATACAAATCTTCGCACTGTTATGTATGACCAACCCATATATAGCGTTACTATATAAAGTATAGCGGCCTGCGATCGAAATCGCTGAGCCGGAAACTATCGCTTTTCTAAACTATCAAAATAAATGAGTTCAGATACTCGCCCAGTGGTGGGACCTTTCTCTCTACCTCGAAATTTTACAAAGTATTTAGAATAAGTTATTAAAATATAAACTATAAAATAAACAATAGTCAAAAAAAAAAAGAAAACAACAGTCAAATTATGTCACGTATTCCACTTCTGCATTAAAATTGCCGGTAGGAACCTTCTCTTGCAATTGTTTGTAGTTTTGTGATTGAGTTACTCTTAAGGTTGGCAGCAAGCAATAAAAAAAGTTTGATTATTCACAACACTATTTTGTATAATTCCACATTTCCTTACTCTTCACACCTCACTTGTCACGTGTCCTTTTACACTTTACAAATTATACATTTTCAAAGTCACAAATTAAATCCCTTAAGCCAACAGTTCAGCGGCGTAAAGCCTTATGCATTAATTGCCGTCATAGCTTTAAACATATTTGAAATTTTCATATATATAAACCCGCCTGTATGTAAGTCAGCCCACATTCAAATTTACGCAGCGCACGTTATGTGTTCACAAAAACAATGCTGTCAGCATTTAAAGTGTTTCGTTTTGAGTGGCAGCATTTCGTACTAAATGCTGCTGCTGCTACTGCTACCCACTAGCGACCTCCCACAATTTTAGGCATGCGTGTTTTAGTAGCTTTCTTATACTAGACTCCCTTCCATAAAGTGTGTGGGATGTTTTCATCAGCCTGCTGGCCTCATCTACACTACTCAAGCATTTCAGCCTCATCATTATCATCATCATCATCTCACCTGCCGCACTGCATTGCTGCACTTTGCTGCTGCGCTTCACTAAAATATTCCAATGTTATTACGTCGTCTTGCTGCACTAAATGTCAGTCGGTTGACGCGAATCGCAGCGAACATGTGTCATGTTCTGCTTAAAAATAAAATTGTACACGCACACACACAAGTAACAACAAACATCACTTCAACTGCATGCCATTTGGCTCTTGGCACATTTTAATGTTACTTGCTATTTACCTTAGTTGCTTGCTCTTGGCAACACTTTGCCGCACATGGGAAAATACACTACAACGCTGCCTTTTCAGCGCAAATAGTGCAACAACAATAACATGGCATGGCATGATGCGTTTAAGTGCGCATAGAAGCTATTTGCGTTTGATGTCAAGTAAACTGACAGGACTAAAGACTCAATGGCAGTTACAGGTTTAATGCTTGCAGGTTTGCGGTTTTAGTTGATGGCAGTTTAAAGCTTAGCAGTAGTAAAATGCGAGATTCCAAAGTAGTTGTAGTAGTAGTAGTATTAGTAAATTGAAAATGTCGTACCCTCCATGTGTTTCTTTTGTGTTACGCCAGGGTCAGTGACTTATTGACTGTATCTGTAAGAAAAAATGAGGAAAATGAAAAAATCAAAGTTACATTAAGAAGTTAAGCAAAGAAAATCAGTTCAAGTGTTGCTTTTAATCGAATTAAAATCAGTGTTACGTACGGTAACCCCCCAACAAGTAACCGTACAAAGAGTAGACTACTCAGGAAACATGTGCCACAAGCGCCATGCCATAAATAAATTTCAGAATAAAAAGTAGAAATAAGAAAACAGCAACTCATTCACTTATACTTACTCCACAAGGCGACAGCAACTGTTTGGAAATTTTTTTCCTTCATTTTCTTTTTATTTCTTCTACTTTCCGCTCACACCGCACTCGCGTTTTGTCAACCCAGCTGCTTTAAGTATCATGCCATTTTCTTTTTTTTTTCTTTTTATTCGCTTTATTTTCTGCTCTCTCCCCTAACCTTTTTTTCTTATTACTTTTATTCCTTTAAACTTCACTTTAAATACGCCAAAACGCCATCTGTCTTGTCTTTTGCCCAACGATTGCAAGATTTAAATTGTAATGGTTTCATTTCATTTGCCATACACACCCTACAGCAGCGCGTCGACTAGCATAACACAACCAACAACCGGCGCAACAAATGCAAGCGCCAGAGCAACAAGACGTTGTGCGCAACCATTATTAAAAATCAACGCGACTGACTGCTTTCTTATTTGCCACTGTACTCACTGCACACTTTGCACACTCACTCATAGCAGCCAGCAACCAGTTAGTTGCTTCGTGTTGTTCGTTCGATCTCGGGCGCTCGATAAAAGCTAATTTGCTATAGCGTCCGGCCGCCGACAACTTTAACTGTGCATCATCGTCTGCATTTTACTTCCTGCTCGTTGCTCTTACTTCTCGCACTCAACTGCTGCTGCTGCTGCTTAATCTTTACTACAACTTTTCTCCTTGTAAGTCATTTTACTTTTCTCTCATTCCTTTCCCCCAACCGTTCGCTAACTGTTGGTGTCGATGAGACCGCGATAAGGCGTACAAATGCTGAAATTGAGCTGCAGAGTTGAATTACTTTCTTCGTATTGCGGCGACGAGTATTATTGCTCTAAGTAGGATTTCTTGTACAGTTTTCGTGCATACATATGTATGTATATATGTACATATAACAACCTCGTATATACGGCAAGTGTGACGACGTAAAGCAGAAATCAAATTATGAAATTCACGACCGTGTCCGACAACCAGATTAGAAACAGATTAAGTTGAGATAATGAAATTGCTTACATGGATTGTGTATTGAAGTAAACGGAGTGAGCGAGTGAGTGAGTCTCGCTGCCTATTTGAGGAGAGGAGTAAAATGTGATGAGTATTAGTTGAGTCGCAACAAACAGGCGTTGGTTATGCGATTGGGTTTGGCAGTACGGAAAAGGCAGTTTAAACTCAATGACATAGCAAACGATGATATTGACTAACCAACCGCGTGGTTATGGGGAAATTACAGCTATCTTTGCGGTGAGAACGCAACGAGGTATTTGCTAGTTCTTAGCGGTTTAATTTTATTTTTTTATTTTTATTTTTCCTGCAATTATTTATTGATTTAATTTTTTCTACTTAAGTAAATGGCATGATGTTTCCAAATCAAGCGTTTTTTGAGTGATTTAAGTTGAAGAATTGAATGTAATAGGAGAAGAGCTGGTTGCACTAAGAAAGTATTTCATTGTAATAAATTTCGAAACTTAACAAATATTTTTAATAATTAAAATTATTATAAATTTTTACAAATAAAAATTTTTCATTTCTCAATTTTATTTATTAAATTTTAAATGTAATAATTTTTATTTCTCTTTTTTTACAGAAATTCCAGCACTTAATTCCTTAAACAATAAAAAAATACTTATTAAACCGTCGATAATACAACCTACAGCGTTCACAATTGACCACCTAAAATAAAGGTAAGTTTAAAGTAAATTTAGTCTAAAAATAATTTAACGGTTTTCAAATCTATAGGTGATGTAGTATAAACGATAGAAATTTTTACTATTAATTTTTGAAATAAATAATTTCAAAGAGTTTCACTACCAAATCAACACACTTCAAGCACTGGCGAATAAATGAAATAAAAAAAAAATAAACACAATATCAAACTCTTCCAAAAATAGCCGGAAAGGCATTTTCTTACATTCGAGGCATTTCAAAGGATTTGAAAAAAAATGAAGTAAAAAGAAAAAATTTACAAACTTTGAGCTCTACACAAAATAGCCAAAATAGAGGCACAAATAATTCAATTCTACAATGCAGTAACTCAGTAATATATTGTGGATTTTATAGCATCGAATAAAGGTGTTAAGACATAACAGCAAGCTGAGTCGTTATTCTTTACCTCTTCTCGTAGGTAGCCCTTCCAAAGTCCACTTATTTGCACGGTATTTATCGTTGTTATTGGGGGAAAGTTCATCAATTTTCCGCACATCCTTTCTCTTCTAAACTGCCATTAGCAATAGCATCATCGTCATTAGACCTAGACAACAAGACGTAAACCTTTTTCAGTGTATACAGCTCGGAGAGCTCCTGCCTTAATCGCACTATAATTGGCACAAATAGGGTGGTTTTCCTCTAGTGTTATTGGCAACCATGTTTTCATCCGTCCATATTCCGCAGAGAAGCTTACGGTTGCACCTTGGTAGCTCTGTCGCCACGGTTTTTGAATTAGCCTCGCCGGTAGAATTGACACTTTCCGAAACCTGCTTGTCTTCCTGGCATACAATTTCTATTCCAACTTCTTCATAGTCGAGCTTCTTCGTTTTCTGTACCAACATCTTCCATTGGGTATCAGTCGCTTCATCATTTTTTTGGTCTCATAAGAGCCTGTGTCCATCTTGAAACTTTCCGTAAGTCGACGCATCTTTTCATGGATATTTGATGGTTTAGTTCTGCAGCCGAACGCCTCAGGTCTCACTCCCGATCCCGTTTTCTGACTGCAATTGCTTCTCGCTTCCCACTTTACCTACGTACCAGCTACTCATCGTATCAGCTCTAATTTCGAACTTATCGAAAGCGAACTGTTTTCTAGTGGTGCTTGGCTTGCTTGAAATACTTTTAGCTCCCTTACATCTTTCAGAAAACAAGAGTGTAATTTGATGAATTTTCATGCGTCTGATCATGGTGCTCGTATCCCGAGGAAGTCGATTAGGCTCATCTCAAGTGGGGTAATTTTGCTGTGGAGACTGAAATTTTGCGATTATAGTGCCTAAAATACTTGGTGGCATCAGCTCACCTATGCCCAAAGCGGACCCATTGTGATACCACTGAGGACACTAATGACCCATACGCGCTAATCAAACCAATGAGCTTTGCAGTCGCCGCATCTTGGCGCCTACCAATTCTCTTAGGTAACTTAAGGTTGCCCGCCCCACTCCTCCAAGGTGTGGAATATTCGCATAGAAGGTGGCTTAAGGCTTAAGGTTCTTCTCTGAAACGTCTGCAGAAGTTATCTTTGTCTGGTTGGCCATAATATCTTGGCCACATTATATGTATGTATTTGGACTGTTCCATCTTAAATTAACTTCCTTAGCTAATAACTCTCATATATTGAGCTGACAAGAGAAGAGCGGCATACCTGAACTTTTCCATGATGGGGAAAGTGGAAGGGAAGCGCCCTTCCTTGCAAGCTCGACCGCCACCTCATTACGGTTGTAGATTTTATTTTTACATACTCTAAGGCTCGTACTGCAGCCTGGCTATCTGAGTGTCAGCTCAATTACCTCTCTAGGATGAATCCCATGTATTTTGCTGACTCAGCAATGGGCTTGTCCGTTCCTGAGAGCGTTGGTGCTGAAAATTTAGGTCCCAAATCATAGCACGGAGAGTTCGTCTTCTCACTTTAGCTTACCTCGAAATGGTTGTTTGTAAGATTATGAGCGCTACTCAGAGTATATTTGGTCTACCGACCGAAAGTCTTGAGTTTTTTGAGTCATGTGGCAATTACCAGATGAAGGGCAGGCAAATTCTTTCCACACTAGCGCAAGCTTCTGGGCAAGACGTCATACTCCAGTCGAAATTCACTGAGTATTTATTAAAGTAACTTTAATTCACTCATAGTTCATAATTCAATTTTCTTCAATTACCAAGCAAATCGAAATCCCCAATGGTCTACTCATCCCCTTAGCTCCTGCAAGGACCTTGATTCAAATTTATACTGCATGGCCATCAAAATTCAATAAATCAACGGTAAATATCATTAAAATTGAACACTGAATTCGCATTTGCACTAAAGGACAACAGAGAACGAGGAAGGGTTTGGCAATGAGTGCAATGCAAATAATCAGAGTCAAGGTTAGAAGGGACAAAAATTTGCGAAATTCGCAAAACTGAAAACAACACTCTTGCTGTACTCTTGAATGTAAAACAAATTAAAGGTAAAATAAAAGAGAGAAGAATTAATGAAACGAATATGAAATGTGAAGGAAACAAAAGTGCAAGTTGGCAACTTTCTGGCGAAAAAAAAAAAATTGGAAATTAAATCAAAATTTCTCAAAACATTTTGTTGTTGTTTTGTTGTTGTTGTAATATATGCAAATCGTAAGTGATTTATAATAAAATTTAAACTTTATATGCAAATTTGTTGTTTTATTTTTGTTTTTGTTTTTGTTTTTTTTTTTTGGTCTGCTTCACTCATATTGCTTACCCAGCCGCGGGGAAATGCAAACTTTTGCATGTGAAAATGCAATTTCTGCTCAGCGTCGCCGCAACTGAGATTTCATAGACCAAGAACAAAATAGCACAAAATGAAATTCAAAACCAAAAATTGAGGAAAAACGAGTAAAACAACGCACGGTTAACTCAATTGTGAGCAGATATTTATTCTAATTCATGCAATCGCTTGTGGTGGTGGTGGTGAGTGCCACATGCCAAACACCAAGCGCCAAGCGCGACACACGACAGGAAAACGCGGCGAATAACAGTAATTTCTAAAGTTTTTGGTGTATCTCTTGTTGTTGTTGTTGTTCTTGTGCGAAGTAAACTAAATTTTCCAACAATTCACTTTAGTACGCCAACTATTTGCTTATTCGCTGCTCGCCGCCTGCACCGCTTCGCTGCGCCACTGGCTGTACTGCGAGGAGGCCAGAGAGCGCTGTTTCCTCATCTGCTCTCCCTCGCTCTGCCCCGCTCACACCTCGCCAGTGACAAGCACTCGCTTGTAAATTTATTTATCATGACTTTTGTTGTCGTTCTTGCCATTGCCAGTGCTTGTGGCAGGATTTCAGCTTACAGTTCGCAGCTAACAATTGGCGTTTGTTTTGCCACCTTACAAGTCACTTTCGTTGCGGTTTGTTTTGCTATTGTTGTTTTTTTGTTTTTGTTATTATATTACTTTAACTATTCTCTACTTACTCACGCTAGTTTGCGTTTTTATTTTATTTGTTTGGCCAAATTTCACTTGAAACTGGGTTGGTGCAAGTTTTTTTCCACTAAAACCGTTTGGGGTCAACAGTCAACTTTCACTAGAATTTTTAAATTTTCGATGAAATTGGTGCAAAGTTTTTTTTTGGCGAATCAATTAAAGCTCAGTTGCAAGAAAACTTTTATACAAATTCTTTATAAAAATTCACGAAAGAGATCAAGAACTCCCTTACAACTGAGAGTTGCTCGAATTAAATACCTCTTTCTCGCTTTTCTTATCTCTTGGAACTCATAAGAACTTGGCTCTTCTATTTTCACAAAGTAAGCAACTTTATTCTGCTCACCCAGAGGTTCATCTTCCGCTCTACAACTTTTGTGGAAGTCGCTCAATCTGGCTGAATGCTTGTCCCGTAGAAAATGTTCTACGAAAAGATCAATATTTCCAGATATTTCCAGATTTTCTATAAGCAATTACCGGAGAGAACATCAGAACATATAGGACAGTCTAAGCTAGACACCATAGTGACAAAGAGAGTGACTGAAATGATCTGTCTTTAAAATCAAAAGGGGTATTTTCAAAAAGAAAAGTTTACTGGCAGCTCGGTGCCGCTTCGAGAGAATACTTCTGAGCTTAGCGAATCATTATCAGGACTTTAAGACGTAGCTGGCTAATATTTCCTAAAACTCGTTCTTATACATTGAGAGTTTTACTGGTAGAGCTCGCCTACTGCAACGCTGACATGTGCTGAGTTATATGGTGTGGCTTTACTCTTGTCGTACGTATTCTAATGGAATTGTATAATCGAGCATTCTCCGCATTGGAAGAGAAAACTTCTGTATCTAAGAAAACAATAGTTCCTGTCGAAAATATACCTAGGGGTCGGGTGTAAGAGTATTCTATCAGGAACTCTCCATCGACGGAGGGCTTAGGCCTCCAGACCATTGTTAAGTTTTTGGAGCGACGGCAGAAGCGGTAGACCCACTAACTGTGGAAGCTGAGAAAAGCTCCATTCATGGTCAAGCTTAAAACTCTCGTACTAAGAGAGAGTTAAGACAGGACATTGTCCGGGTCTCTACTGTCGTGGGATAACTGGAACTATCTCTGCACCTTCTTAAGAACTGTATTGCCTTGCCGAGACTGAGGCAGAAAATATTCACAATTTGAAGATTTGAGACATGCACTAAGCGGTCGGCTGATTTAAAAGTTGTCTAAAAGTATCAGGGTGGTCGAGTATCATGTTTTTAAGGGACATCTTTAAAGGATAGGAGACTTCTACCAAACCTAACGTTATCCAAAGAAAGCTTTTGAAAGTTTCTTAGAAAAGTAAAGCTGCCCTAAGGTATGTGACTCTTTACTATAAAATGGACAAAAATATCATCCATTCTGGTTTAATCCAAAAGATTTTAAAACTGTTCACAAATTTTGAAAGGATCCAACAGAATTGAATTGCTTCTATTTGTTCTCTGACCATCTTTTTCTCTCTATCTCTATTTACATTTCTTCCTCTCTCTCTCTCACACTCTCTCTTTCTCTCTATTTCACTCTCTCCCT